GACACCGCAAATCCGCAGTGTGTTCTCCGAACCACGACTGGCGACAAGTACTGCGGCCTGATCTGCCAGGCTGACTCGGATTCTGGCGCCATGCCTACATAAGCCACTGGTTGATCCTTTGAGGTAGTTTTGGGCCACAAGCGAGGTTTGAGTGGAAGCTTAGGCACAGGCAGCTGCCAAAAGATGATGGGGATTGGCCTGTGCACCTACGATTCGTCTGTGGTGAAGGCTTTGCCGACTGTGATGACCCAGGTGGGGTCGTTCTAACTACAAGGCTGTGACATGCACTTATCACAGTAGGATGTAGTTTTCTTTGGGGAGGTGGGCCTTTCGATTTTCGGGCCACAACTCCCGAATGCCTTGCAGAGCCTGGATGCGGGTGGGATGCGCACCGAACCGTGCTGTTGCTGCTCTTTCGTGTGCTGCTGCAGGTGCTGAGTCGCTGTTTTTGCTAAGTTTCATCTCCTTCCGACTAGCTGTCGCAGCACAGATTTGAGAGCTCTCTGTTCATTTATCGCTCCACGAGATGGTGACAGTGTGTGGTTTTTACAGAGACCGTGGTTTGTGACTGTGCAGGTGTCTGTGGCAACCAACCCCAGCCACTACGGGAACCCAAAGACAGGTTGCCAAATTGATGAGGAAGCCGTGCGTGTTAGTGGTATGTCCGGAGACTTCTGCAGTCCCAAGTGCGACAGCCGTGACGCCTGCCCGAAAGACATGCCTGCGGGGGATTCGGCAGACCCAGAATGCGCTTTGCGAACTGGTTCGGGAGAGAAGTTCTGTGCACTCCTGTGCACTTCGGACGCGGACTGCGGATGCTCGATTCCCATTTTCAGCCCCACTGTTGCCGTCGCTACTCTCACTTTGTGCCGGGTATAGAGGGTCTAGTATGCATTGGCCGTGCCTGCCCACTGGCTGAGGCCAGGGCCTTTGCCAGCACATTCTGGGCACCGGGATTTGCACTTACACGTCAAGACATCAGAGCTCGAGCCTGCAGGCGGAGAGCCAAAACCTCCCGTCTTGAAGCCCGAGCCCCCGAGTTTCGAATTCCCAGTCAGGATCCACGGATTCCCCAAGCTCGGCATGGGAAACAAGTCATTCTAATCCAATCCGTCAAGCATGATGAAGCCCTCGCGCGGCGTGCTACTGATAGAATTCGTTTCCGTTTCTGAAAAAAAGTGTCTGTTTTCAGACAGACGTGTGTTTGCAGGTGGCAGTGGCCATTGCCGTGGCAACCAACCCGACCCACTATGGCAACCCATCCACTGGCTGCGAGTCCGACGAGGTTGCCGTTCGCGTGAGCGG